AAAAAAAAAAGAGAAGAGGATAGAGAAAGATAGCAAGTGAACAATAGAGGGGATGTTAGTGAGAAACAGATATGGTTTATTATCTGTTGAAGATGACGTGTATAGTATTCTCAACTGGACTGGTCTGGGAAGTATTTCATGATGGGTGAAGTCTTTTAACAAGCAAAATGAGAAATAGTGATTGACTGTTTTAAAAAATTATAATAATTATTGGGAAATGCATGGAAAAGACTTTGAATGATAAAGCGGGGAGATCGATGCCTCTGTATTGACTGACATGCATGGCATTCCCTTTTGAAAAAGCAATGGAAGTCAATGTAAAGTTATATGTAATCCAATGTAATATAAAGAAGATTATGATGATAATAATAAAAAAAAAAAGTTAAACCACAGGGTAGGGCCTCAACTCTCAAAAAAATGAGATCAAAGTGCTTTTCATATTTATTTTTTAAAGATTTTTTTTTAACAGAGAGATTTTGCTATGGTGTGTGTGTGTGCTTACTAGAGAGACAGAAAGTGAGAAATCACCCCCTGGGGAGATGGCCATGCCGCAATCCCTTCTCCTCCATTCTCCTCTTGGGATTCTGGGCATGCACATACATATATACCCAGCATGAGTTTTAAGCCACCAGTTCGGGACTCGAACTTAATATTATGTGGAAGTCCAGGAACATAAGCATTATGCTATATGCTGGTCCCTTATTTTTCTTTTTTCTCCTGGCCATATAAAAATGTAAAACCATTCAAAAGTAAGGATTGGGCCAGATTTGGCCCCCAAGTTGTAGTTTGCCAGCTCTTGTTCTAGAAGACGGGGACCAGCTATGTGGTGTTCTATCTCCAAACTGGTCTTCCTGCTACCCATTTCCTAATGAATATAGCAAACAGTTATTGAGTCCTGCCTGTGTATCATTCTAATCACTTGCTATGCATGAACACATTTATCCTCAGAACAATCCAATGAGAAAAATTTACTGTTACAATTCTATTTCAGAGATGAGGACAGTGAAGCACAGAGAGGTTAACACCTTCGAAGTCCTCCAATAGCTTATCATTGCTTTTGAAACAAAAAGCTCAAAATGCATAGCATGCCCGACAAGAACTTCTGCCATCTCACCCTCACCTACCCTTCCAGCCACATCTTGTCTTGTTTCTCCCTTCCCACTAGCCTCGGTCACAATGGCTTCCTTCAGTCCCTCAGATGTGCTGAGTATTCATTCCTACCTCAGGCTTCAGGAAGCATCCCAGCGTGTCTCCACTGTTCTCACCTCTAATCTTCCTGACTTCTGGTTTGTCCTGGGGCTGTCAGTTATCAATGTCCCTACTCCATTTTGTATTCTAACACTCTTGCTCTTCCCTTTGCCATGCTCATGACAATTAGCAGTTATTTTCCTGTTGATTGCTTGCTCTTGTCTGTGTTCCCAGCATCCATCATGATGCTTAGCACATACTAGACTCTCAATAAACGTTGATTAAATTAATGATTTGCTCAGACTCCTGCAGCTTGTAAGTGGCAGAGTTAGCATTCCAATCCAAATCTGTGTGATTCCAAAGCCAAAGTTCTTAACATGTGAAAAACTCATTGTTTTACCCCCAAATCTAAACTCTTTTGAGAGTGAAAGAGGGAGCTACGAATAGCTCTACAGGGCAACCAGTGTAAGCCTGGACACACCAGTGTAAGCCTGGAGACACCAGTCTCCTCTCCTGCCCCAGGTGGCCCCTCCCAGAACCCTCCCTGCTGAAATCCACTGCAGGGGTACTCAGAATCTTACCCAGGAGTAAAGAAGCTGGCCCAGCCAGGGATAAACTTCGGGTCCCGGGAGAAGAGGAGGATGGCGAACATGCAGAAAAGGATGAAAACGGCCTGTTCTGCAAACCTGTGGCACAGATATACAGGCATGACGGTGACCTGGGCTTTAGGCAGATGGCACAGCTAGGGCTCTGGCCGGCGACTGCAAGACATGATTGAGCCTAGGCCCCACCCTTGAGAAGCTGAAAGAAAGAATTCACTCCCCAGCAGCCCCCAGAGTGAGGGGACAGGTGCCCAGTGGTGTAAGCGATTTATACTGTGGGGCTTCCGTGCTCCCCAGGATCCTTCCTGAGCATCGAGTCATTGTCTCCCCCCAAATTTTATAACATTATCATGGGAGTTGACTAAGGTCTTGTGGAAAATCAAGCAAGAGAAAGGAAAAAAAAAAAAAGAGAAACCAAAATAGAGTCAGAAAAGCAGAAGAAGAGGGAAATGACAGGAAAAGGCAGGGCGAGAAAGAGCAGAACCGTCATATAGAAGAACACACAGAGAGGGGCAGACATGGAAAGAGGGTGGTCAGAGGTAGAAAGAGAACCCCCAAATGTTGGAGGAAGTAGCTATCCATGTTCCTATTTCACAGACTGGGGAGTAGGGCCCAGATAGAGTTAGGACCTTGCCCAAGGCCACACAGGAAGTCAGCGGCCAAGCTTGTCCTTGAAGACAGAACTACTGAAGCCTAATTATTTTCACCACATGAGAAGCATACACCAAACAAGGTCCAGAGATGATGTCAGACAGTCCATGTACCAAGAGGAAAGGGTACCTTAGGTAGGAAGGGAGCAGGTCATCAATCCAAGTACATTCTGAGGGGCCTTAGGGTCCTCAGGTTATCTACCCCAGCATCAGGCCAAGAGACTGTGTAAACCACTTCCCCACCTTCCAGGTTGGGTTCCTGGGGCATTGCTTCTGAAATTTCTCCAAGACTCAGCACATAGGCCCAGGGCCTGGCCAGGAGATAGCTTCCCTGAAAATCTAATGCTCAGCTCTTTCCCCACCCCCAAGGACCGACACACACTTGATGGGCCCCAGATTCTGGAATTCTTCCCGAATTACAGCTCGAGCTCTATCTTCTGCATCAGCTCTCATCTCAGATTTCTTCTTCCTCCAGCTCCTGAAAGAGAGAGTAGAATGTCAGATGTAGCCACTGCAGGTATGACCAACTTGTCACTTAACCACCACTACCAGGCCAACCCACATCATCTTTGCTCTGGAGACCACAACAGCATCCAAATGACTGGCCTTCCTGCCTCTGGATTCCTTTTCTAAAATTGTTCTCCCCACTTGTAGCCTAGTTGATCTTTTAAAGAGTGAAATTGATCATATGACTCCCAGGCTGAAAATCCTTTGATGGCTCAAATAGGCACTTGAATAAACACACGAACACATATTATGACATGAGGTTTTTTACATTCTTTTGTGAGTAAGAGTCTTCAAAATCTGGTGTATATTTTATACTTACAGCACATCTCAGTTGGATCTTGTCACATTTCATGTGTTTATTTGACCCACTAAAAACAAATCAATTGTACAGAATAGAAACTCTAAAAATAGACTCAATCACAAATGGGAATTTAGTCAGTGTTAATGTTGGCATGTCAGATTGGTGTGGAAAAGATGAGCTATTCAATAAATGTCACTGGACATATAGATCAATGGAATAGAGTTAAGCCATACATCTATGGCCAATTGATTTCTGACAAGGGTTTTAAGTCCAATTACTGGGGGAAGAAATAGTCTTTCAACAAATGGTGCTGAAACAACTGGATATCCATATATAAAAGAATGCATTTGGACTCCTACCCCACACCATATACAAAATTTAACCCAAAATGGATTGAAGACTTCAATTTAAAAGCTTTTAAGTTCTTCTAAGTGGTTTTACATAAAACTTTCAGAAGAAAACATGGAATAAATTCATGGCCTTGGATTAGGCAACAGTTTCTTAACTATAATACCACAAACACAAGCAACTTGTGGGCTTCATGAAAATTTTAAAATTTCATGTGTCAATTAATGATACTAGAACAACTGGGTAGCCATCTCAAACAAGAAATGAGGTTGGATACAAACCTCACACTCTACCATAAGGATAAATTCCAAATAGATCAGAGGTTTAAATGTAAAAATTATACAAATACTAGGGCCAGCAGGTGGCGTGGTGGTTAAGGGTGCTGGACTCCCACATGGCCAACCGCAGTTCAAGTCCTAGACTTGGTGGCTTGCTTTCTTACTTTGCCTCTCTCTCTCTCTCACTCTGGCTTAATCTGGTCAAATGAAAATAAGTAAGTAAATAAATAAAGTTAAATAAAATAATTCTTTTAAAAAAATACTAGAGGTGGGACCAGCAGATGGCGTAATGGTTGCATCACTGACTTCCACATGGCTGACTGTGGTTTGAGTCCCAGACTCAGAGGCTTGAACCTCATGCCAGGAGTGTGTGCATGTGTGCCCAAAATCCTGAGAGGATACTGGAGGAGAAAGGATTATGGCGTTGCCCTCCCCCCTGGGGGTTGATTTCTTGCTTTCAGTCTCTCTGTCACTCTGCCTCCCCAGAGAGTGCATGTGCCCTATAGTAAAATATCTGTCTCTCAAGAAAATAAATAAACAAACAAACAAACAAATAAATAAATAAAATAAAAACTAGGGGAAAATGTGAGATAACTCTTTTATAACTCTCGCAATAGCAAAGTCTTTCTAAATTGTTACCAAAATTTCAGAAGCGTATGAGAAAATAATTGAGAAATTATTCAGTGTTTTTAAATATCTTGTCCTTGTGTTATTTCAAATTATTTTCTGCCCTCTTCTCTCTTCTGGTCATGAATGTTTACCTCATTTAAAGAGCAATAAGATTTAATAATTATTAATGATGGGTGACACTAACTGAGGACGTTGGTGTAGCAGGCAAGCCAGATACCACCCTCAGTCCTCACCACCATGGGGAGACAAGACATGAGAATATGCCATGATATAAGAACCACGACCCTCAGTAGAAGATGGAGGCCTGGGAGCGAGGAGGCTGGGACCCCAACACCGTTCTGTCTGCCTCCAAAGCTGCAGTGGTTCTGCTCCCTTCCCCATCCCACCGCCCATGAAGGAAATGAGAGGTACCTCAAGCTCACACCGCCGTACAGGAAGGAGATCCAGAGCCAGCCCACCAGCAAGAACAACAGCATGAGAGGGAAGGCGAAGATGAACCAAGAGCCAAAATTCACCACGTCGCACTGTGGAAAGAAACTGGAGCACAGAGGGGGACAGGGCACACATACCAAGTCAGCCAGGCCCATGGGGCAATAGGGAGGGGTCGCAGGGCATCAAGAGGGGAGTCTCCCTTGAAAGATGTGAAAACGGAATTTTCCTTTCCTTCTGATACTCTCTTTTTCCTCTTTTTTGAGGGAACCGGATTGTGATCTGGTGGAAAATAGGTGCCCTAGAGTTTAATCACAGTGCTCTTGGGCTGACAGGTGCTTGAGTGCATAAAGCAGACCAGATTGGTAAACTGAAGAGAGCTCACCCTGTTAAATGAGCTGCTGTTCACTGGCCCGATGGTCACCAGGCAAGAGTGTGGGCCCAGAAAGCCCAGATCTGGGTTTTCACTTGAAATTATGTGACATGTAAATGTTGGCAATTTGCAAAAATGTTTTGAATGAATGAAAGAACCAAACAAAACACATCTGCAGGCTGCCACCTCTGCCCTAGTCATTAAATACCCTCCTAGACTCTGAATGCCCTGCCCAAATAGGGCGATGTCTGTGAATTCTCTGCTAAACAGAGTCCAACCCCAGTTTTCTTAAGACATCAATGCACCTGAAAGGATGGAGGACAATAATATTCAATGCTGGTGAAGATGTGGGAACACAGGCAGATTCCTGATGCTTGTTCATTAGAACAATCTTTTTTGGGAGAGAAATATGATAAAATGCACTGAGTCTTGAAAGAACACATAAGGGACCAGCAGCTGGCGTAATGGCTATGTCACTGGACTCCCATGTAGTCAACCACAGTTTGAGTCCCAGACCCAGTGGCTTAAACTCATGCCAGGTGCGTGTGTGCGCGTGCCCAAGATCCCAAGAGGAGAATGGAGAAGGGATTGTGATGTGGCCATCTCCCCTGAGGAGTGATTTCTTGCTTTCTGTCTCTCTGTCTCTCTCTGTCTTTCTGGCGAGTGCACGCACCCTATAGCAAAAACCTCTCAAAAAATTTAAAAAAAAAAGATACACATAACTTTTTACCCAGAAATTCTACTACCCAAAATATATAAGCCTTAAAAAATAATAAATGTAGTGAGAAAAACATATGTGCTTTATTGAAAGGAAAAAGGTAAGCTACAGAATGATGCATATAAAAGCATATGGCCAAAACCCACTCACAGATGTTTCTGAATAAATAAGCAAACTGAAATATTAAGTTATCACATAATAAGCAAATGAACATACAAATATTAATAAGCTATATGATGAGATTCAGTGATTTTTATTTCCTTCTTTTTCTTTATCTGAATTTTCTGTACTGAATAAGTACACTTCTGCAATTAGGAAAAAAGGAAAATATAAACATTGTTTTGAAAACACTAAAATATCGGCAGATATACAGTCAGTTGCATAATTCTTAATAGCAAAATAGTAGTTAAAAATAAACACAATCTAAATGCGCATGATTAAAGTATGACATGTAATAGCCCAAATGGAATATTATGAAGTCATTCAAAAGTATGCTTTCTAGGGCTGGCCTCGTAACCTCGTGGTTAAAAGAGGCAAACCCCACCTGGCCAACCAAGGTTTGAATCCTGATCTCAATGGCTTGAAAAACATGTCGGGTCCTCTGTGCCCCAAATCCTGACAGAGTGAAGTGGAGGAGAAGTGATGGCAGTGTGACAAGGCCTCGTTGAGGGGTGCTTCTTCTCTCTCTCTCTGTCTCTCTCTCTCTGTTTTTCTGGCAAGTACACCTGCCCTCTGGCAATTAAAAAATAAGTAAAAATAAAAGTAAATTACGCCTTCTAAAAAATTTTAATGATAACATCAGACTATAAAACTGTATAGCCAGGATGAGGGTGACAATGTTAAATATACACACATTTACTACATGGGGACAGAAAAGTCTATAAGGAAGTCTGCCAAAACCTTCATGGTGAGATCGAAGGTACCTCAAAATTTTAATTTTTTTCAATATTTTCCAAGTGTATTTCTTGTAAGCATTCTACAAAGTGCCTAATCGTTTTATAATCAGAATAAACCAATAAAATGCATTTAGGGGACAAGAGCCATGGGACCACTCAGAGAAGCCATTGTCCCATCTTCCCAGGCTCCTTTTCATTCTCAGCTACAAAACCAACATCCCATCTTACTTGGCATTCCTTTTTTTTTTTTTTTTGGAGAGGTTTTTGCTATAGGGTGTGTGTGCTCGCCAGAAAGACAGAGAAAGACAGAGAGACAGAAAGCGAGAAATCACCCCCCGGGGGGATGGCGATGCCGCAATCCCTTCTCCTCCATTCTCCTCTCGGGATCTTGGGCATGCACACACATGCGTCTGGCGTGAGTTTAAGCCACCAGGTCTGGGACTTGAACCACGGTTGGCTACATGGGAGTTCAGTGACATGGCCATTACACTAACTGCTGGTCCTACTTGGCATTTCTTTTAAATCTCCTTTTTCCATACCAGAGGGTCCAGGTTTCTGCCATTAAATTATACATACTATTTGCATGTAATTTACTCAAAATCCTATATTCAGTATTTTTATTTACACTTCTAAGGCCTTTTCCCCACTTTCTTTTCAGGTTGGGACAAAATGCTGCTCATGTCAGGATAGGCAGGAAGCACAGAGATGCTCTGACTCCTTCCTTTTCTCCCTATCCTCCAACTCAGCTTTCCCCCTGTGCTCCCAGAGCCCCTGTCTTCCTGTCTTCCTGTCCAGCTCTGGGTGGGCTCCAGCAAACCTTATTTTCTCAGCAGAAAACAGGAAACCAAAGAGCCAAGCCTAGATTCTCTGCATCCTGAGACACGACCATCTTGGCTTCTAGTTTTTCTTTGGCTGACCAAAAACCACAAGCCACAATCATGTTTAAAAAATAAAAAGACTCGTCGTAGGATTTGCGATAAGACTCAGTGGGCTTAAACCAGCTGGAGAAAGACCCTCGGTCCCATCCCATACCTCCTGAACCCAAATCTCCATGTGCAAGGCCCAGAGTTTTCATCCTCATCTTCCCCAGTGATCCCAATGAGCACACATGGCTGAGAACCATGTATTCTATCATCAAATCTCAAAATGAAGCTATTTTAAAATGTGATAATGCAGTGGCAATTCACCTTACCCAGGGTTAAGGTTTTAAAATCAGCACACAGTACTGAACATTTTTCATTAAAAAAAAAAAAGTGGGGAACCAGCAGTTAGCGTAATGGCTATGTCGCTGGACTTCCACGTAGTCGACCGCGGTTTGCGTCCCGGACCCGGTGGCTTAAAACTCACGCCGGGCGCGTGTGCGTGCGTGCCCAAGATCCCGAGAGGAGAATGGAGGAGAAGGGATTGCGGCGTGACCATCACCCCTGGGGGGTGATTTCTCGCTTTCTGTCTCTATGTCTCTCTTTTGTCTGTCTGGCGAGCGCACGCACCCTATAGTGAAAACCTCTCCAAAAAAAAAAAAAAAAAGTGGATTATTCACAAGTGTAGGACTCTGTGTAGTGTACATGAGCATAAGAGATAGAAAAAGAGGGGAAAACAGAAAGAGAAAGCCAGCAGAGTCTCAATGTCACGATCCACCCCCAGCTCCAGCCAGCCCCAGATCATGGGCATGTGTGTGCTGGGCACATTCAGGGAGGTCTCTGAATGAGAACCCAGAAACTTCCCGTGTGGGTCATTGTGCAGTGTCACGTTTTCCCACTGCGCCACGATCCGGCTCCCCTAATACATTTCTGATTATTTGGTTGAATGCCAGGTAAAGATGGCCAATATTTGGCACCACGCGGAATATCAGATACTTTGTGTTGCTGTTTCCTTGCTGAATGCATTTATGTACGTTAAATGAACGTAGATCCATTGAAGAGAAGCCCAGCCTGTCAGAATCCTGAAACCTGAAAATCTTAGAGACAGAATTCTGAGATGCTGTATTTTCAAAATCTTCGAAACTAGAGGCTCAGGATAACAGGATGGACAAGTCACGCTGTGGGAGATTTCCTCCCCATCATTCTCATGTCCGACTGCCGGCCACCCAGCCCTGTCTGAGCATCCGGCCTCCTGGCATAGCCCTTTGTTGAGGGGCCCTGCTCCTGGTAGGAAGGCTTCTCGCGGACATGCCAGCCAAAGCCTCTAATTGGGAGTGCTGTTTAAAGCATCTCGATGTTCCTCTCTCACCTCTCCGATGGCTCTCCATCAAACTCAGAGGAAAAGCCGGAGTCCTCAGATGCCTGCAGCTGTAACCTCATGTCTTCTCTCCTCCCCTCTGCCTATCCACCCCAGCTTCCCCCAATCTTCTTGCTTTTCCTGAACCTGGGAACAGTCTCACCACAAAGGCTTTGAACTAGGATTTCTGGGGTCTGGAATGCTTATTCCTCCTGCGTGCACATAGCTCACGCCCTCCCTCATAGGTCTTTGCTGAGACACCACCTTCTCAGAGAGTCTGGACTACCCTGAGCAGGCCGTGTAAAACAGACCCTCTCATCACGTCTACCCTCCTACCCTGCCTCGTTCTGTCCCTCACTACTGGAGATACAGTAGTTGCTTTTCCATCTATTGCCTGTCTCCCCCACCGGAAGGGAAGTTCCCCAAAGGCAGGAATTTTGCTGGGTTTTGTGCCTTGCTGTGTCCCCAGGGCTTGGCCAACAGAAGGCCCTCAGGACGTATTCCCTGAATGTTGGCTGAATGCGGGGAGAAGGGTCAGGAGCCTCGGTGCCTGGGGGCACTGCTTTTACCTCTTGAGCTGGCCAAGCAGGATGAGGTTGGGGGCTGTGCCTGTGAGTGTGGCAGTGCCCCCGATGCTGGCTGAGTAGGGGATGGAGATGAGAAAGCCCTTCCAGATGTTTCTGCGGTATTCCTCCTCCTTCGTGCAGTCCATGGGCAGGTCCAGTGGAGCCTCCACTTCCTCTAGGCGGTCTTTGCTTTGAACAAAGCCAAACAGAAGCCGCTCAGGGCACGTTCAGAATGCCAGTTTCCCACATACCTCACGGCGGGTGGGAGAGCTACGTAGTCTTTCTAGAAGGCGGTTTGGCACAGGCATCAAAACCCTTTACAAACGTACAACCCTCCATGCAGATATTCTACTCTACAAATGTATCCTAAAGAGATGGACAAGTGACTCAGGTGTGAATTGAAAATAGTTGACCATGCATTAAATGCATTTAAATGGAAATCAGCCTGAATATCCACCGAAAAGGGATGGGCTAAATAAAGAGGACCCTCTCTGGGTCAATGTATGGTTTAGAAATGATGACAGAGATAGGTGGTCATTGAGACGAAAGCTATCTATTAGAAGAACTAAAGTGAAAAGCCGGATAACAGAACTAGGGAGTTTTTATTAAAAAAAAAATACTCATGTTTTATCAATATAAAAGTATTTTAAAAGTCAAAATGGTACATAGGTATTTTGGTGCTGGTCTTGGGTGTGGAATTACAGCTTTTCTGTCTCTATTTCTTATTTGTATTCTTCTGTGATGTATTCTTTTTTAAGAATTATTTTTTAACTTTATTTTTATTTATTTGTTTGTTTGTCTGTTTGTTTGTTTTAATTTGACCAGAGAGGGACAGAGTAAGTGAGTGAGAGAGAGAGAGTGAGAAAGGAAGCCGTTAGGTCCAGGATTCGAACCACAGTCGGCCATGTTGGAATCCAGCATCCTTCACCACCACACCACCTACTGGCCCAGTGATATATTCTATACAGTTAAAGAGTTTGGGGAAAGAACAGAATTAAGAGTTGTTCATTATATAATGAAAAGATCATGATACTGACATCAATTTATTATGCACTCCATGAAGTGAAATGGCAGAGGATGAATCAGTAATAATAGCACTATCAAGTTTTTATTTTTATAATGGATTTATGGGGGCCAGCAGGCGGCATGGTGGTTAAGGGTGCTGGACTCCTACATGGCCGATGGCGGTTTGAGTCCCAGACCTGGCAGCTTGTTTTCTCACTTTCCCTCTCTCTCTCTCTTCCTCTATCCTTCTCTGGTCAAATTAAAGTAAATAAAATAATTTAAAAAATAGATATATGTATATATGATGATCACAAGAAGTAGTCTAGAATGCCATCACCTTAACTGTTACAATCTGCCTCTGGGAATGAGATGTTGAATATATTTTTCTTTTTATCTAAGGGTATTTTTTTTTAACATACGCTATTATAAAATGTTTATCAATTAATGAAATTTAGAATTGCTGTAATTATGCGAGGTGTTGGATATGTTAACTAGATTGATTATGATAAGTATTTCATAACATATAGATATCTCAACACAGCACACTTTAAATACATATAATTTCTATGTCAATTATACCTCAATAAAGCTTGTAAAAAAAGAAATGAAGGTTTTTAAAAGTGTTCCTGGCGTAACAAATCGGTTTTCAAAAATCTAATTTTTAATATTTTATTTTTAAATTGAAATAAAAATCACATTAAAAATTCTGTTTTTAAAGAGTGAAAGAAAATCCAGATATCTTCTGGCCTTTATTATACATAGTCTCCTTCCCCAGAGGGCAATGGGGACATTACGTGGGGCCTGACTAGTCAGTTTCCAACATAGCGGGAAGGCAGAGACCAGACAGAACAGCTGGAAACCAAAGTCATGGTCTGACTTTTTAAAGATGAGAAGCTTGTTCTTTTTTTTTTTTTTTTTTTTTTGAGAGGTTTTTTCGCTATAGGGCGCGTGCGCTCGCCAGACAGACAGAGAGAGACATAGAGACAGAAAGCGAGCAATCACCCCCCAGGGGGGATGGTCACGCCGCAATCCCTTCTCCTCCATTCTCCTCTCGGGATCTTGGGCACGTACGCACACGCGCCCGGCGTGAGTTTTAAGCCACCGAGTCCGGGACGCGAACCGCGGTCGGCTACGTGGGAGTCCAGCGACATAGCCATTACACTAACTGCTGGTTCCCAAGAGAGGCTTGTTCTGGAATCATGGCTTCACCCAGACTTGGAGACCCCCAACCAGAACAAGACTCAGAAGGAAAATAAGAGAGCAGAAGGGGGCCCTGGGGTATATCTACTGCAACCCCTTCTTCATTCATATGGGAAAACTGAGGCCCAGAAAGGAAAAGGGTTTGTATCCAATGGATACAGACTTCTCAAAAAGTCTGCATCTTTTCCAAAAACCCAACACAAGCCATGCATGGCAGGTGTTTAAGGTACATTCCTGGGCCAGTTGGTAGCTTGGTGGTTAAGGCAGCTGGATCCCACATGGTTGACTGTGTGATTCAAGTCCTGGACCTAGCAGCTTTAGAAGCACACCACGCACATGTTCATGCATTGCCCAAAATCCCAAGGAGGAGAGAGAAATGGAGAAGAAGGAATTGCAGCATGACTATTCCTCATGGGGAAGGTGCTTTCTCACTTTCCCTGTTTCTCTCTCTCTCTGTCTTTCTGCAGCAACTGCACATATCCTCTGGTGAATTAAAATATAAAAATAAAAAATACATTCCCAGGATCCAGTGTCATCATGGCTGGCCAATCACAGAACCCACGTTTCAAAGTTAGATGCAGAGCCCCTAGTCACAGTGCCAGGAAGGCCATGGGATAAAACCAATATTAGGACCATAGCCCTCCTGTGCTAAAACCCTCCATCAGCTCCCATCTTGTTCAAAGCCAGGTATGGCCTATGAGGTCCACATGCTCTGTGCTCCCACCTGCCCTCTCTCAGCCATGACCCACCATCTGACCCACTATCCGTACTTTGCTCACTCAACTCCAACCACACTGGCTTCCTAGTTGTTCTTTGAGCACTCAGGAACTTTGTGCATACTGATTCCCCTGCTGAAAACACTCTTCCCACAGATAACCCCATGACCCTTCACCTCCTACAGGGTCTTGGTCAAGCATGACCTCTCCATGAGACCTTCTATGACCACCTATTTTGAAACTTCCCTTTCCCACCTTGGCCCTCTTTCCTGCTTTGTTCTCCCATAGACTTACCAACCATCTGACATATGGGTTTTATTCATTTATTTGTTTCTTGCCACCAGAATATAACCTGCACAGGGCTGGGGTCTGTTCCTTGCTGTATTCTCTGCACCTAGCCCTGGCTCATCATAAGCTCTCAGTAAGTATTTGTGGAATGAATGAAATCAACCTGACCACTGCCCAACACTGCCTTGAGCAAATTGCTGTACTCCCTGTTGTTCCATCGCCGTTAAATGGAGTAACGATATCGTAATAAAGTGTTACCAGCTGTTTATGTAAGGTCCAAGCCACCTGCTTTGTCAACATGATCTCATTTAACCTCACAATAACCCTGTAAGGTGAGTTCCAATATCACGCTAGGAGAAGACTAACGCACAGAAAGGCTAAGAGACTTGTTCAAGAGGCATAGGCAGAGTTCCAAGTCTGGTGTGTGTGACTCCAAACCCCGTGATCTTAACCATGCTGCCATGTGCAAAGGATACCAAAAACGAAATGGGACATCAGTGTGAAGATATGTGAAGGTGGCTATTATTTTACAGAAATTTTTGTCTTAAGAGCCTCTTGACATTGCCTGCACCCCTCTCCTCCCTACACCTCTCTCCTCCCTACTCTCATGTCCTCCTGTTCTTCTGGGACCCTCCTTTCAAGACATTTTTAACCACACTGAACCCTTAGGGATTTAATGTGCTCCCCTGCCCCTTCTATAGCTGTATTTTATAAAAGGAAGCTGTTGGGTCCATATAAAGTCATAGGGATGAACGATGGAAACTTGGGCAGTAGAGCGTTTTAGGCAATTTTGAGGATGGTAGGGAGATTGCTCGTGTCATTGAATCCTTCCTCATCATTGCCTGGATGAAGCACTGTCTCTCCTAAGAATTTCACCAGGAACTTACTCTTCTGTGCTGGCGAGAAACTGCATCTCCGTGGGCACAGCGTGCAGGCCATTCCTCCGCACAGCAGCTAGGAGGAAAGAGCGATGTCATTAGCATGGCACAGCAATGGCACGGGAGTGTCCTGATCCGGTGCAGTCAGTCGAGAACACTTCCTCATTGCTATTCTCAGATCAGAAAAGGAGGAGGAAAGAGGAGAAGGAAGAGGAAGATGAAAGAAGAACATGATGGTGAAGAAGAAGGAAGGAAGAGAAAATAAGAAAGGAGAGAAAAGGAAGGAAGGAGGAAAAGAGGAGAAAAGGAAGGGAGAAAGAGAGGAAGAGAGGAGAGAAGGGAGGAAGAAAGAGAGGAAAAGGAAGACGAGGCACTCAACATTCTATCCTCCCGTCCCATCATCCATGTATGGAGACAGTCTTGGGTCTGAAGGCAGGAAGTTAGCTTCAAGGCTACTTGACAACCCATGAATCAAGCCTCAGCTTCCCTGAGCAGCCACTGCCAAAGGGAGATTTGGGAAAACCAGCTATGAATGGCAATGGATCAGCAATGGGGTGGGAGACCCCAATTGTCCATTCCTTTATCCAGTCAGTCAGCCAAAAAGTATTTCCTGAGCACCTACTATGTGTTCTCTACTGTGAGCTTAGGATACTCGGTAAACAATATAGCGCAAGGTCTCTGCTCCCACAGAGGTTATGTTCTAGAAGGGGAGAGAGGCACCACGTGAAGAAAATTTGAGATACTGAAGAATGCTGTGGAGGAAATGAAACTAGGCAAGGCCTTGGAAAGTATCAGCAAAGTGACGGGGGAGCAATCAGGTCAGCGGAGAAAATACTATGTGCTGATGGCACTTGACCTGAGACCTCGAGGATGACAAGGAGTCAGTCATATGAAAAGTCATGGAAAGAGGACTCCAGGAAAGAGTCGCCGTGAATGTGAAGGCCCTGCAGTAAGGAGAAGGTTGAGGGTGAGAAACCGAGAAAACTCGGAGTGCTGGGATAGTGGCGAGTCGGGAAGGACTGGTTGGCAGCAGGTAGGAGTGTAGGAGAGCTGGGGAAAGGTCGATAGGAGTTGATTTCTGATCAGGAATGGGGGTCGCCTGATGAATTTAGTGCCCAAGAGGGATGATAGGACTTACATTTTGCAAACATTTCTGGCTCTGGTACGGGAGAATGGACTTCCAGGGAGCAAAAATGGAAGCTAGGAGCCCAGTTCAGGATCTATTGCTTTTTCAGGTAGGATAGTGGTGGCTGGACTACACTGGTGACCACAGAGATGCCGAGTGAGTATGTGGTGGATGTGTTTCAGTGCTTCTTTTGGGAGAAGAGCTCGGGGCCACTTGGTGCTGAGGGCCAAGTTTATTAGCCATCAATAAATCTCCATAGAGTACCTCTCATGTGCTTGGCACTGGGTGTAGACAGAAATCTAGGTCCTTGTGGAGTTTATCTTCTAGCAGGAGAGACAGAGCACAGACTAGTAAGAACAATACAGGATGCCAGATGTAGATGATGTCATGGAGAGCAAGAAAGCAGCGAGGGGTGTAGGGAGCAGCCGAATCTGAGCAGAAACTGCCCAGCTGGTGGAGGCTAAAGAAAGAAGGCCAGGGAAGACCAGGGGAGGTTTGTTTAGAACCCCAACAACCACAAGTCGCAAGATATTCCAGTTTCAGTGGAGAGAAAACAGCGGGATTTACCTTCAGCTTCTCCCGCCCCCTTTGCCCTATAGAAGAATAAGTCTGGGAAGGGTTCGGGGCCACAGCTATCTCCATCAGAGATGCCCGGTCCATCTCATCCCCACTTTTCTCTGCTTGTGTGTCTGTGCGTTTTATTCCCACTCGGGGTCCCATCTCCCTGTCACACAGGTCGTGGCAGAGGGGGACAGGTGTTCTAGACTAATACATTTTTCGAGGATGCTCAAGGAAAGTCTGACTGAGAGGAAAGTCTGAGAAGAAAGTCAGACTGAGAAGATGGTCTAACATTGGACAGAGACCTGAAGAAACTTCCGGGGCATGAGCCATGCACATACCTGGGGCCATGATCAAGTGCAAAGGCCCTGAGGTGGGAGTGTGCTCGTGTGTTGAGAAGCAAGAGTCCCACGGGACGTGGAGGGTGTGAAGGAGAAGGAAAGTCAGAGGTGCGAGAAGGCGGCAGGTGAGGTGGAAGAAGTGGCAGGGGCTGGGGATGGCAGGAAAGGGGCTGGATCATGCGAGCATCTCAGGGATCACAGTAAGGACTTTGGCTACTTCTCTGAGTTAGCTGGGAATCAGGGTAGCATTTTAGAAGGAATAGCTCAGGACAAGATCTGACTGCATTTTAAAGTTTCCCTCTGCTTGATAGACCAGACTCCCTAGGAGCTTTGATAGTATTTTAAAGAAAAATTTAAAAATGAATAAGAAGTTCCTGCAACTGAGCCAGCTGCAGTGACACAGTAATGCAATGCTCTGTGCACAATGCTCTGTGAAGTTGAAGCCACATGGGAAGGTCCCAGGTTCACATCCTGAGGTCTCCCTGTACAAGCCAGGTGTGTGTGTGTGCATGTGTGCATGTGTGTGCGCGTGTGTGTGTGCGTGCCCATGATCCTGCCTGGCTGAGGCTGGAGGTGAATTACAGCATGAAGAAGACTCTGCTGGAGGTGCCTCTCTGTCTCTCATCCTGAGGTCTCCCTGTACAAGCCAGGTGTGTGTGTGTGCATGTGTGCATGTGTGTGCGCGTGTGTGTGTGCGTGCCCATGATCCTGCCTGGCTGAGGCTGGAGGTGAATTACAGCATGAAGAAGACTCTGCTGGAGGTGCCTCTCTGTCTCTCAAAGAAAAAATATATATATTAAAAAGCAAAACAAACAAAAAAACAAGTCCCTGCGGCTTAAACCACCACCAAAGGCAAAAGACCTCACCCCTGGGAGCTGGGCGTGTGGCTGATAGATGGCACATGTGTCTCAGTTCAGATCATAGCTCCATCACTTACTATGTGACCTGAGGTCAGCGGGTCCCAACTGGGGTCCATTCTGCTCTCAGAGACATTGGCAATGTCTGGGGACATTTTAGATTGTCAAAGTTTGGGGGAAGGAGAGTTATTTTACTGATATCTATTGGTTAGAGGCCAGGAATGGGGCTGAACATTCTACCATACACAGGTCAGCCCACCCCAACAATTATCCCATCTAACATGTCAATTGAGGTTGAGGAGGCCTGGTGTAGACAAATCTCTTCAACTCTCTGTACCTCAGTTAGTCCATTTAAAGCAGAAAGCAGTAAACCCCTTCATAAAAAGCTAGATAGTAAATAGGCTTTGTGGGCTTTGGGGCTTTTTCTCTTGTAACTACTCAGTTCTGCTATTGTAGCCTCAAAGCAGTCACAGATAATACATAAGCAATTGCATGTGGCTAGACCTTTATTTTGGACACATATGTAATCTGAATTTTGTACACTTTTCACATGTCACAAAAATATTTTTCTTCTTTTGATTTGTTTCAACCATTTAAAAATATAAAAATTATTCTTAGCTCACAAGCTGCACAAAATGAGGCAGCAGGTTGAGTTTGGCAGGCCGTGCTTTGCCAGCCCTGATGTGAAGACGTTAACAGGAAGCTGGGTACTAGCAATCATTCAGCACATGGGGGCTGCTCTGGAGAAAGAATGAAAAAGCAACTCTGAGAGCCAGACTGAGCTGACACTCACAGCCAGGTCATGTTGTTCTCCTGGACCTCAGGCATCTCACAGATCACAACCCTCGGACAAAGTCACCCTGAGATGGTGGTAAGATGCAACAAAGCAAGATGACTTGCCACTACATCTCAGTGCAAGGTCACCACACACCCACAAGTGACCAAGCCTTGCCCTCTCCTACCTGCTGAA